TTTTACAATAATGCAGTAGTCTGCATAATACAGTAAATTTTGTTTTTTTTTGTATAATAAAAAATCAAAATAGAAGCATAATAACATAAAGGGGCCTAAGAAATGAACTAATGAACATAGCATATGTTTATTAGTGCCACAGATGTCTTACCTTGTTTATTCTGGACCCTATTTGAAATTGGCATCTTTTTTAGTTTGCGTGAAATTGGCCAAATTGCAATTTCTGACCACCATATTGGGTAGTCCAAATTAGTAAATGGGAGGTTTCTTGTACTCAGCTGATAGATAAAATGGAGTTCTAAAGAAATAGCTATGAGTTTGGTCAACTGGCTGAAAATAGGGCTCAAAGTCGGCGAAATCGCTGATACGCATATGTCGCCGAGACCGCTAACTTCACGGGAGCATAATTCCATGAGTTTTCGACCAAATTTCGAACTTTTGGTGTCATTACCATCGGGAAAAGATTCTCTATCATTTCATAAGAAAAAATAATTTTTTTTTCAAAAATTGAGCGACATAGAATGATAGTTTCAGAAAGGGGCCTGAAACAGTCGAAGGGTTAACCTCTCCTCGTAGGACATGCCCCTTTGCTCTGGGACTAGTCTTGTTGCAAACCTTTGCACTTTCTCTAATTTCCTTACATGTTTGGCTAGGTGTGAGTTCCAAACTGGTGCTGCATACTTCAATATAGGCCTGACATACCCAGTGTACAGGGTCTTGATTCCTTATTGAGATGTTGGAATACTATTCTTAGGTTTGCTAGGCACCCATATGCTGCAACAGTTATTTGGTTGATGTGCACCTCAGGAGATGTGGCCGGTGTTATACTCATCCCAAAGATCCTTTTCCGTGAGTGAGGTTTGTAGTCTTTGGCCCCCTAGACCATACTCTGCAGTCTTTTTTGCCATTCCCCAATCTTCATGACTTGGCACTTGGTGGGGTTGAACTCCAGGAGCCAGTTTCTGGACCAGGCCTGCAGCTTGTCCAGATCCCTTTGTAGTTCCACCTGGTCCTCATCTGATTGAATGCTTTTCATAAACTTCACATCATTTGCAAACAGGGACACTTCTGAGTCTATTCCTTCTGTCATGTTGTTCACTTACACCAGAAACAGCACCAGTCTTAGGACTGACCCCTGTGAAACCCCACTCGTCACAAGCGCCCACTCTGACACCTCGTCACGTACCATGACTCACTGATGTCTTCCCGACAGGTATTCCCTGAGCCATTCCAGTGCCTTCCCTGTTACACCTTCCTGGTCCTCCAGCCTATGCACTAATCTTTTATGTGGAACTGTGTCAAAAGCCTTCTTACACTCCAAGAAAATGCAATCTACCTACTCTTCTCTCTCTCTCTTGTCTTACTGCTGTCACCCTGTCATACAACTCCAGTGGGTTTGTGACACAGGATTTCCCGTCCCTGAAACTGTGCTGGTTGTCGTTAGATAAGATAAGATAAGATTTTGTTTGGATTTTTAACCCCGGAGGGTTAGCCACCCAGGATAACCCAAGAAAGTCAGTGCGTCATCGAGGACTGTCTAACTTATTTCCATTGGGGTCCTTAATCTTGTCCCCCAGGATGTGACCCACACAAGTCGACTAACACCCAGGTACCTATTTGCTGCTAGGGAACAGGACAACAGATGTAAGGAAACGTCGAAATGTTTCCACCCGCCGGGAATCGAACCCGGGCCCTCCATGTGTGAAGCGGGAGCTTTAGCCACCAGGCCACCAGGCCACACACGTTGATAAGCTCATTCCTTTCTAGGTGCTCCACCACTCTTCTGATAATCTTCTCCATGACTTTGCATACTATACATGTTAGTGACACTGGTCTGTAGTTAGTGCTTCATGTCTGTCTCCTTTTTTAAAAATTGGGACTACATTTGCTGTCTTCCATACCTCAGATAGTTGCCCTGTTTCGATAGATGTGTTGAAGATTGTTGTTAGTGGCACACACAGTGCCTTTGCTCCCTCTCTCAGGACCCATGGAGTGATGTTATCTGGCCCCAGTGCCTTTGAGGTATCTAGCTCGCTTAGTAGCCTCTTCACTTCTTCCTTGGTTGTATGTATTGTGCCCAACACTTGATGGTGTACCCAACCTTTCCGTCTTTCTGGAGTCTATTCTGTCTCCTCTGTGAACACTTCTTTGAATCTCATGTTGAGCTCCTCACATATTTCTTGGTCATTTCTTGTGATCTCCCCTCCTCCCTTTCTCAGCCTGATTACCTGGTCCTTGACTGTTGTTTTCCTCCTGATGTGGCTGTATAACAGCTTTGGGTCAGATTCGGCTTTCGCTGCTATGTCATTTTCATATTGTCATTGGGCCTCCTTTCTTACCTGTGCATATTCGTTTCTGGCTTTATGACTGCTCTCCTTATTATCCTGGGTTCTTTGCCGTCTATACTTCTTCCATTCTTTAGCACACTTGGTTTTGGCCTCTCTACACCTTTGAGTGAACCAAGAGCTCATCCTGGCCTTTTCATTATTTCTGTTACCCTTAGGTATAAACCTCTCCTCAGCTTCCTTGCATACTGTTGTCACATATTCCATCATCTCATTTACTTACTTCCCTGCCAGTGCCCTGTACCACTGAACCTCATGCAGGAAATTCTTCATGCCTGTGTAGTCCCCTCTCTTATAGTTTGGCTTCATTTGTCCTGCCCTTCCTGCTACCCTTTCCACTTGTAACTCTAATATGTATTTGAAGCTCAGAACCATGTGGTCAGTGGCCCTGAAGGGTCTTTCATATGTGATATCCTCAATATCTGCACTACTGAAGGAGAATACTAGGTCCAGTTTCGCTGGTTCGTCCTCTCCTCTCTCTCTGTTAGTGTCCTTACGTGTTGGTACGTGAGGTTTTCCAGTACCACCTCCATCATCTTAGCCCTCCACTTTTCTGGGTCCCCATGTGGCTCCAGGGTGTCCCAGTCAATTTCTTTGTGATTGAAGTCACCCACAATCAGCAGCTTTGCCCTGCTCACATGAGCCCTTCCAGCTACTTCAGCCAGTGTCAACCATCGCTCTGTTACTCTCATCATATTCTTGCCACCAGACTGAAGTGTTCCTATTATGTAGTGCTTGTGTGCGTGCGTGCGTGCGTGTGTGTGTGTGTGTGTGTGTGTGTGTGTGTGTGTGTGTGTGTGTGTGTGTGTGTGTGTGTGTGTGTGTGTGTGTGTGTGTGTGTACTCACCTAGTTGAGGTTGCAGGGGTCGAGTCCAAGCTCCTGGCCCCACCTCTTCACTGGTCGCTACTAGGTCACTCTCCCTGAACCGTGAGCTTTATCATACCTCTGCTTAAAGCTATGTATGGATCCTGCCTCCACTACATCGCTTCCCAAACTATTCCACTTACTGACTACTCTGTGGCTGAAGAAATACTTCCTAACATCCCTGTGATTCATCTGTGTCTTCAACTTCTAACTGTGTCCCCTTGTTACTGTGTCCAATCTCTGGAACATCCTGTCTTTGTCCACCTTGTCAATTCCTCTCAGTATTGTTGGCCATAACTCTTTCAAAATCCAAAGGGATGCTCAAACGTGTCATTATCATGTCCTTCCTATCTCTCCTGTCCTCCAGTGTCGTCAGGTTGATTTCCCTTAACCTCTCCTCGTAGGACATACCTCTTAGCTCTGGGACTAGTCTTGTTGCAAACCTTTGCACTTACTCTAGTTTCTTTATGTGCTTGGCTAGGTGTGGGTTCCAAACTGGTGCTACATACTCCAATATGGGCCTAACGTACACGGTGTACAGGGTCCTTAACGATTCCTTATTAAGATGTCGGAATGCTGTTCTGAGGTTTGCTAGGCGCCTATATGCTGCAGCCGTTATTTGGTTGATGTGCGCTTCAGGAGATGTGCCTGGTGTTATACTCACCCCAAGATCTTTTTCCTTGAGTGAGGTTTGTAGTCTCTGGCCCCCTAGACTGTACTCCGTCTGCGGTCTTCTTTGCCCTTCCCCAATCTTCATGACTTTGCACTTGGTGGGATTGAACTCCAGGAGCCAATTGCTGGACCATGTCTGCAGCCTGTCCAGATCCCTTTGTAGTTCTGCCTGGTCTTTGATCGAATGAATTCTTCTCATCAACTTCACGTCATCCGCAAACAGGGACACCTCGGAGTCTATTCCTTCCGTCATGTCGTTCACAAATACCAGAAACAGCACTGGTCCTAGGACTGACCCCTGTGGGACCCCACTGGTCACAGATGCCCACTCTGACACCTCGCCACGTACCATGACTCGCTGCTGTCTTCCTGACAAGTATTCCCTGATCCATTGTAGTGCCTTCCCTGTTATCCCTGCTTGGTCCTCCAGTTTTTGCACTAATCTCTTGTGTGGAACTGTGTCAAATCCCTTTTTGTAGTCCAAGAAAATGCAATCCACCCACCCCTCTCTCTCTTGTCTTACTGCTGTCACCATGTCATAGAACTCCAGTAGGTTTGTGACACAGGATTTCCCATCCCTGAAACCATGTTGGCTGCTGTTGATGAGATCATTCCTTTCTAGGTGTTCCACCACTCTTCTCCTGATAATCTTCTCCATGACTTTGCATACTATACATGCCAGTGACACTGGTCTGTAGTTTAGTGCTTCATGTCTGTCTTCTTTTTTAAAGATTGTGACTACATTTGTTGTCTTCCATGCCTCAGGCAATCTCCTGTTTCAATAGATGTATTGAATATTGTTGTTAGGGGTACACATAGCGCCTCTGCTCCCTCTCTCTCAGGACCCATGGGGAGATGTTATCTGGCCCCATTGCCTTTGGTGTGTGTGTGTACACTCGCCTATTTGTGGTTTCAGGGGTCGATTCGTAGCACCTGTGAGTGTGTGAAAGAGAGTGAGTGTACCATCGCTCTGTTACTCTCATCATATTCTTGCCTTGGCCTCCTGCTGTTCTGTGTGAGGATGAGGATATGAGTGTAATTGTCCTGAAATACATACATATTATATATTTATTGTTTTACATTATGTGTCATTTTTCTATATTGTTAATACTTTTCAGAACTTAGTCACCCCTCTGACACCAAGTGCTCCATACACTCCCATATCTGCTGTGCATCCAGGAGTGGCTAGTTTACATTCATCCCCTCTCACTACATCCTATCATGGATCACCAAGATCAGGGCCATTTGGTGCTCAATCTCCAGTAGCGGGATCAAGAGGATTTTGCACCTATGTTCTCCATCAGGACGCAGAATCGACGAGGTAGACTTAAGAGCAGAGATGGAGAGGCACAAAATTAGTCTCAGCCTAGATGAATGATTTATGCCAAACTTAAAATATGTTTAGTTTATTTTTGTTGATATGCATAGATATTTTACTTTAAGATTGTCATATTCCTTGTTTAAGCAAGTGTTACTTGAATATACTACATATTGTAAATGATAGTTGTTTCCAGGAGATGCCTTCTCACCCTATGAAAGTGGGAAGTGATTCAGTGTTCTTGAATATTCATTGACAACATAATAAATACAAAATAAAATCAATGATGAGTATCTTTGTTGCATTTTTATGACTACCTGCAACTTGCATTTCTTTAAAGAATATTTGTTTTGCAAATTTACTTTTAATTGGTATATTAATTTGTTCAAATATTAGACAGTAACATGTAAAATTACATTTAATACCTTGTTTCAGCAGCTGCAGAAGTTAAAAGCTAATATAACCTAGTTCTTCAGTACTTCACAGTGTTAAATTAGACACATGTGCAACTCTTGGGTATCTTTATCTCAATAAAGATACCCAAGAGTTGCACATGTGTCTAATTTAACGTGTCGGTTCTTTGAACCATTCATCTACAGTACTTCACAGTAAATAATTGACATTTGTTGTTAGTCATTTTTTTTACTCTGATTACTTGATGATTTGTTGTGTGCATTTATTTCTTAAATTGAAATTATTTAATGTGACTGTTTTTTATTTTTTCCTCTTCTGAGTGTATTAGCAGCTTGTCCATTTCCAGAGCATTGTATACTGCAGCTGACTTGTATTAGCATGGGTCACTTTATCTTGTAATTAAAAATGGGTATCAGTCACGTTCACCAAAAAAATTTGATAATTTCCATTTATATGAAATATTTTGTTTTCATTTTCTCTATAAAACATTAGGCTGATGTTCATGAGTTTTATCTGAGATTCCATTTACTCTCTTGATAAGCAAATACAGTGGAACCTCAAAAATTGAACTTAATCTGTTCCAGGAGCTAGTTCTAAATTCAAAAAGTCTGAAATTCGAAGCAATATTTTCCATAAGAAATAATGGAAATACAATTAATCCATTCCAGAAACCCAAAAATATTCACAAAAATAATACATTTTATAGAGATTAATTACAGTTTCCCATACACACAACAAATGCTATAGTCTTTAATTATGTATAGTAATATAAAATAACATTTTTACTTACCTTTATTGAAGATTGGTGATGGCATCTGGAAGATAGGGAGAAGGAGAGAGGGAGTTGGGGTTATTGTTTGGAAGGAGAATCCCCCTCCATGAGGACTTCCGGTATCAAAGCCCTCTCTGGGGTTGCTTCCCTTCTCTGTATTTTAATGCCACTAGGACCAGCTTGAGAGTCATTGGACTCCAGTCTCACAAAATAACTGTCTACAGTCCTCTGTTTCTGTCTCACAAAATAACTATCTACAGTCCTCTGTTTCTGTCTCACAAAATAACTGTCCACAATCGTCTCTTTGTCTCACAAATTAACTGTCCACAGTCGTCTGTTTCTGTCTCACAAAATAACTGTCCACATTCGTCTGTTTGTCTCACAAAATAACTCCACAGTCGTCTGTTTCTGTCTCATAAAATAACTGTCCACAGTCGTCTGTTTCTGTCTCACAAAATAACTGTCCACAATCGTCTGTTTGTCTCACAAAATAACTCCACAGTCATCTGTTTGTCTCAAAATAACTGTCCACAATCGTCTGTTTGTCTCACAAAATAACTCCACAGTCATCTGTTTCTGTCTCACAAAATAACTGTCCACAATCATCTGTTTGTCTCACAAAATAACTCCACAGTCGTCTGTTTCTGTCTCACAAAATAACTCCACAGTCGTCTGTTTCTGTCTCACAAAATAACTGTCCACAGTCGTCTGTTTCTGTCTCACAAAATAACTGTCCACAGTCCTCTGTACATCCTGGCAAGCTCAAGTCTCACTCCAATCTTATACTTCTGTATTATTTCCTTTTTCACATCTGTGGTGTTTCTCACTTTCTTTACCACAGGGGTACTGCTAGCAAGTTTCTTTGGGCCCATGGCAGCTTATTTCACAGCCCCACAAGCACTAAACACAATTAAATAATCGTAAAATGTGTGAATGAGATCGCAGGTTAGTGTTCACTCAAGCATAAACAAAGCTAGACTGCTCACGGCGCCTGCGCGGGGACGCGTAGAGCGGGCCAGCGGACAGGTCCCGTACCTGGCGGTCTGAAATTAGGGGCGCGTTCGATAATTGGGACACAGTTTGTCCGAGAAAATGATCTTATTTTCGAAACGTTCGATATTTAATACGTTCGATTTTTGAGGTTCCACTGTACAAGTAAAATTAAACACAGTTTTGCATTCATGGTTCCTGTAGTTTTTTCCTTTTAAAATTATCACATTTACTATAGTGAAGAGCCAGCATGTACACTACTGATAATCGTAAATATACTTGACTATTCACAGTTTTTTCCAGTTGCATGTGGTGTGGTTGAAAGCTTATTATTGCATGAATTTGTGTCAACTAAAGAGTTTTGAAAGGAATTAATTACAGTACAGTATATGTTTAAGAGAGGCAAAAGGGAATATAGTTCATCCCTCAGGCCAAGCATGACAAGTACTTTGTGTCAATCCTCTTCAACTTTCAAATAATAAATGGCACTGAAGTTGTGACTTCTCTTGGAAAATACATTAGTTAAAGCATCATGCAACATTCCAAAGCAAATGTTTCAAATTCATATTTACTGTACCAGAACCATTGAAAAGCTCTTGATCCAGGAAGTTGGGCTGAATTTCCACTTCCTTGAATCAAATCTTACATTCTTCAGGTGCTGTTTGAGCCCTTTGGATTAAGCAACAACTTCCCAATCTCTCCCAAGAATTTAATTATAAATCTGGGATGGGATATTGAGACTTCGAGAAAGTAGGTGCACTGGTGCTGTCTGTTGAATGACTGCCAATTACTCAGTGGCAGAGTAAGTGATGTCTGCAAACCGCATTAGCAAGTCATCAAGTTCTAGCAGAGCCTTGCTACTGGTTGTGAGATTGTTTTACTAATTTTTATTTTTTTAACATAATGGCCATCTCCTACCAAGGCAGGGTGACCCCCCAAAAAAGAAACAAAGTTTTCTTTTTTTTTTTAACATTTAGTAATTTATGCAAGAAAAGGGGTTACTAGCTCCTTGCTCCCTACTAAATTATTATTATTATATTAGGGAAGCATTAAATCCATGAAGGTAACATAGCCACTGTTGAATGGGACAGAGTAATCAAGTTTGATCCAAATTATTATTATTTTTTTTTTTTTTTTTTTCAACAAGTCGGCCGTCTAAACCACAAGGGCTATACAGCGCAAGTTTGATCCAAAGAAGGGGAGGGTAGCGACAATTCCTTATGCCAAAAGCCCTTCCCACTGAAGTGTCATCATCCACTAAAGGATGTGAAGCTAGAGGAAGTTGCATCCTAAGATTAGATGTTTCAAATCAGAGAGAAAAATGCACCTTAAATGCTTCCAAAAACCCAAGTTAAAGGCATAACAGTGAGGTTTTTAGGTGGGAATCTTTGTGCTGTTCTCTGAATTTGAGAGGTCAGGGGAAACCACTAAGCTTGTGTGAAAGTAAGTGGGGTGGAAGAACACTGATGCCTCAAAGTCACTGAGGAAACAGTGGCTAGAGAAATTGTTGGGTCCAGCAGGGTTAAGCATCCAAGGATGAAAGACCATTGGCCATCCTTACTGAATGAGTGCAGTTGTTTCACACGTGAACCTGAGCATTACAACAACATTGGGAAAAAACTATGATTTGGCTATTGCATCATTGAATGTTGGACACTGGAGATGCTCAAGAAAGATTGTCCCAGGATGCTGCAGAAGCGGATGCCAGATATCAGTCAAAATGTCTTTGGTGCGATTCATAATGGCAGCAATGACCATTATGAGTTGCGTAGTAGGGATGGATGTGACAAATACCTTCTAAATGTGCAGAGGCAAATGTTGAAGGAACAGCAAACAAAGGAAAGCAGGACATAAAACAGGTTGGCAGTTACCTGCATCAGATGTTTCATCTGGTGCTGGAACAGCATGCCTCCACTGTGCCAGGCCATACAGGAGATGGTAATGTTTTAGGTTCCTGGAAGTCCCAGCAACTCTGAAGTAAGCTACCTGGTGGTGGCGATATGTAGTCTTGATACCACTAGTAACACCATTGTGTACTGCTGGCACTGAAGAAAACAGATAACCATGCAGAGGTATATTGAAGTATTTGTACCAATGCCAGATTGCTCAGATAGAATGACTGGGTGTAGAGTCAGATACCATTTTGGAGCTTGCTTCACTGAAGGAATGTTCCTTGATGTTGGCAAGGGGCCTTTGATCCAAAGCAGTGGACCTGATGGCCCCTTCCTTGGATTTAATCTGAATGCCTCCCATTCTCCCTGTCACTCAGTGCTGTATGACTTGTCCAGGTTTAGCTCTTAGTCTATATTGTTGTTGTTGTTATTCTCTTGGCATTGTATGACCCTTATGGTTTAGTGCTCCCTCATAAATATAATAATTTGGAGCTTGCCACCATTTATAGTTCATCTATAGAAAGGAGCAACCAGATGTTCTACAGCCTGACAGGTCAGAGATCAAGTCATGAGCAGCTGACAGAAGATCAAGCCTTAAGCACTCCTTGCCTTGAATGACCCATATGGATTAATGTTTCCTGGTGAATGTAATAACACAGACTGAGAGTCAGTATGTATGTGTAATAAAACTAATGCAAAGAAAAAATACCTGTGAATATAAAAATATGGCATCTAAAGGTAGGATTATAAGGTATTCCTGAAAGGGGATCCCTCAATGGTTGCCATATTGTTTTTCTTAATTTTTTTTGTTTTTCATTCTTAACTTGGGAATGCTCGATCTGATCAGCTTCAAATTTTCAACATGTCCACAGTAATGAGGACCAGAGTCTGGAAGAATTGGTAGTGCAGGAGCTCTGTGATCAGTTGCTGAGCCCCTTCACAACATCCTGGAATGGCTCTTATAACTTCTACAACCCTCAGCAAAATAATGCCTCCTAATTCGTCAATGGCAGAGAGTAAAAATTAAATGTGTAGGTGCTGATTTGATCATTTTATGTGTGAAATAATGTGAAATTTTTATTCCTGTGAAGTCGTACTAAATAAATTTCAGTTTACTTCTGAACCACCTCAATAATTAAAATAAAAATTTGACGTTTATTTTAATTAATTAAAAACAAATATCCCTGGGGCTGAATGTTTGAAATTATGAATGCAAACATAAAATATGATAGCAGTGAAGCACTGAATCCGGCATATCGACCTATGCTAGGCAGGTCCAATTCACATTCAACCACACCCACTCATGTTCCTCTCATTAACAATTAAGTTGTCAAATTAGTACTTTCCTATATCATTTCAAAGTTCAAATACTGACCCCTGTGGCACACCACTTAAAAGGATATTCATTCTAATTTTTCCCATTAATACAAGTTCTCTATTGCATAATAGTCAGCCATGCCTCGACCCAGAGCAAAATTTCTCAAATGCCATGTGCCGCTACTCCTTGCACCAGCCTCCCAAAGACCATTTAAGTAGGAAAAATGGTTATAATCGTAACCATAATTTTTAAAGGGGTGGTAAGCCAGTGGAAGGCTTCGGTCAGATAACTAAAAGCTCCAGCTGCGGGTCATCATATGACTAAGACACATGTCAGGTAACATTTCTCCTGTTTCCTGACAAACCTACCTAACCTAACCCATGAAGACCATTTACAAGATATCGTATTCTTTATTTTAGTCGACTACCTCAAATACCCTAGTGAAGAAGATTAGTAAACCTATAAGGTATGCATGCCCCTCTGATTTGCATCACCATTTATTGACTCGATCAACTTTCCCACAATCAAGGTTAGGATGACTGGTCTACAAATTGAGGTTGTGAGTCAGTAACACATTTGCCATTTTAAATTTATCTGTTATGATATCTGTCTTTAGTGATCTGATGAAAAAACGAGTGGTTTGTAAATTATAGTGGGAGATTCAGCATGTGAATCATAATGTGTAATTCGGCAAGGGAATTGCGGTAAGTTAGGAGTGTGTGAGTCATGGTGAGTTAGGGGGTGTGTGAATCGTGGTGTACCATGGTGTGAATCGTGGTGTATCATTGTGTGAACCAGTGTATTATTGTGTGAATCATGGTATGTGAATCATAGCGTGTCAATCATGGCACGTGAATGAGAGTGTAATGACAACTGAATCATGGCATGTGAATAATGATTGAATCGTGGTGACTGAATCATGTGAATAATCATAGTTGAATCATGGAGTGAATCAGGGTGACTGAATCGTGGTTAAAGCATAGTGTGAATCAAGATGATTAAATCATGGTGTGAAACGTGGTGACTGAATCAGTGTGAATCATGGTGATTGAATTATGTGAATAATGGTGACTGACTCGTGTGAATCATGGCATGAATTATGATAGTTAAATCATGGTGTAAATCATGGCATGAATTATGATAGTTAAATCATGTTGTGAATCATGGCATGAATTATGATAGTTAAATGATGATGTGAATCATGGTGATTGAATCATAGTGCGAATCACAATGATTAAATAATGGGGTGAATCATGGTGACTGAGTCATGACTGACTCGTGATGTGAATTATGGTGACTGAATCGTGTGAATCATAACTAAATTATGGTGATTAATTAGACACATATACAACTCTTGGGAATCTTCATTGAGGAGACGTTTCGCCACACAGTGGCTTCATCAGTCCATACGAAGGAGAAACTTGAAGAACAGGAGGAGAATGAGGTAATCAGTCCCTCAACCTTGAGTCGATGTGTTCAGTCCATCAATCTTGATGGATTGATGGACTGAACACATCGACTCAAGGTTGAGGGACTGATTACCTCATTCTCCTCCTGTTCTTCAAGTTTCTCCTTCGTATGGACTGATGAAGCCACTGTGTGGCGAAACGTCTCCTCAATGAAGATTCCCAAGAGTTGTATATGTGTCTAATTAATCAACATGTCGGTTCTCTGAAGCATTCATCTATAAATTATGGTGACTGAATTGTGAAATCATGGTGACTGAACTGTGATAACTAAATCATGGTGATTGAATCTTGATATGAATCATGGTGACTGATTCATGATGTGAATAATGGTGTAAATCATAGTGATTGAATCATGGTGATTAGATCATAGTGACTGAATCATGGTGATTAAATCATGGTGTGAATAATGACTGAATCGTGATGTGAATTATGGTGACTGAATCATCGTGTGAATCATGGTGACTTAATCATGTAAATCATGGTTAGTGGATCATTGCCTGAACCGTGGTGATTGAATCGTGGTGTAAATCAGTGACTGAATCACGGCATGAGACTCACGGTGTGTGAATCACGGTGTAAATCATCGATTGCTTCTTACGGAAAATGGATTTTGTTAAGTAAATTCAACGTAGGCATTAATATGGGAATATAATATTCACTAGCTGTGTGGATGGTGTTTGTACAGTACCAGACAGACAGCTGGTAATGATAATCCTGATCTGGTTACTAGACAGTGATGGTACAGATTTGGAATATGCTTCAATTAAAAATCCAGCCACCTAATTCCTAGCCACCAGAAAGTAGATTCCGTTTTGAGTATCTGCAGGCATGGAATATCTGGAAAAAACGAGTATGGGACGTGCAATTTTGCCCATCGTATAAAAAATGCTGTGACCTGAAAAAAGAGGAGTGTCTTTCTACCGCCTGTCAACTGTTTCAGCCTGAAATGTGTTATACATCAGTCCACGAAAAACAATGTTACTACATAAACTTCCCTGCATACCACTTGAAAAGGACCAGGAGGTCAAGACCCCACAAATCCTGGGACACTAACCATGGTACTGACAATTATTCAATAACAGATTTTTTTTAGTGTCAGGAAGTAGAAAAAATGATAAATAACAAAAATATTCCGCCACCTCGGAGCCCTGTTAGAGTGGAGACACAATCAGTGGCTCCCACCCCAAAACCATATGTCACATTAATGGCATATTATTGCCATCAGAAAAGCCCCCAACAAGCCAACGATACTACATTTGTATTTGCAAATATACAAGGCCTAAGCCATCCACCTAAGCAAAATACCTTTAATCAGTGGAATCCTCGTGGAGTCAAATATTGTGTTCGCTGCTTTCACAGAGACCAACACAAAAGATCATTTTCACAACGAAATATGGATACCAGGGTACAACTTGTTTAGATACGACAGCAAGAACAGACAACAAGGAAGGGTTGGCCTGTATGTCAAAGTCGCTCATCCACACACACTTACCTTTATTGGAGATTCTTCTTAGTGTATGGGAGACTGGAGGAGGAGAGAGTGGATTGTTTATAGTTTGGAAGGGGAATCCCCTTCCATCAACACCTCAGGTACCATTTGCTTTTCTGGGGTTGCTTCTCTTCTCTGTTTCTTAATGCCACTAGGACCACCTTGAGAGTCACTGGAGTCCTGTCTCACAAAATAACTGTGGAGAGAGCTCTGTTTCTGGCGTCTCTTTAACACTTCCCTAAAATGGCCCAAGACTTTGTCACTGTACATGTTGCCAACCTGGCTTGCAACAACCTGTTAGGGTGATGTTTTCTCCATAAAGCTTTCCATCTTACCCCACATAATAAAAATCTCTTTAATTTCTGAAGAAGGCACCTTCTTCCATCTCTCTTCCTCCTCCTCTGCAGCAAGATTCTGAGCTGCGATGTGTTGCTCTTCCTGCTGAAGCTCTTGCAGCTCCTCAGTGGTAAGCTCTTCATTGTGGTCTTCCACCAATTCTTCCACATCCTCCAAACTCACATCCAACTCCATGGAACTCCCCAATGCCACAATTGATTTTACAACAGACATAGGCTCATTAGGGTCAGTCCCAAATTCTTCAAAATCCCTCTTGTCGACACAATCTGGCCACAATTTTCTCCAGGCAGAGTTCAAAGTCCTGGTAGTCACTCCCTCCCAAGCCATACCTATAAGGGTTATGCAGTGGAGGATGCTGAAGTGTTCTCTCCAAAATTCCCTTAGGGTCAAGTGAGTGTCTGTGGTCACAGTCAAGCACCTGTGAAACATTGCTTTTGTGTAGACTTTTTTAAAGTTGCAATAACCTGCTGGTCCATGGGTTGGAGGAGAGGAGTGGTATTTGGGGCAAGAACTTTACTGTGATGAACCCATACTCCTCGAAAATTAGGTCATCCAAGTTGGAGGATGAGCAGGTGCATTGTCCATTACTAGCAGGCACTTGAGATCCAATTTCTTTTCCAGAGATACTCCTTCACACTAGGGCCAAACACTTCATTGAACCACTCGACGAAAATTTCCCTCGTGATCCATGCTTACTATTAGATTTCCAAACACACACAATTTACTCTTCATAACATTGTTTTTCCTGAACACTCTTGGATTTTCAGAATGGTACACTATTAATGGCTTCACTTTGAAATCCCCACTAGCATTAGCACAGAACATTAGCGTCAGCCTGTCTTTCATAGGCTTGTGTCCTGGCATTGCCTTTTCCTCTTGTGTAATGAAGGTCCTCTTTGGCATTTTCTTCCAAAAGAGGCCTGTTTCGTCACAATTGAACACTTGTTCAGGTTTCAGTCCTTCAGCCTCTATGTACTCCTAGAATTCATGCACATATTTTTCAGCCGCCTTGTGGTCCGAACTGGCAGCCTCACCATGCCTTACCACACTGTGTATGCCAGTACGGTTCTTAAATCTCTCAAACCAGCCTTTGCTGGCCTTAAATTCACTCACTTCACCACTATTTGCAGGCAATTTCTTTACCAAATCTTCATGCAACTGCCTAGCCTTTTCACAAATAAACGAAGTCATAAGAGTATCTCCTGCTAATTGTTTCTCATTTATCCACACCAATAATAACTTCTCAACCTCTTCCAGTACTGGTGATCTCATTTTTGTCAGCATAGTTACTCCCTTTGCAACAACAGCATCCTTTATTTAATTTTTCTTGGCCACTATGGAACATAAGGTTGTGTAGGGTTTCTTATACATCCTGGACAGTTCGGCCACACTTGTACCACTTTCATATTGTTCAATGATGGTTTTCTTAAATTCAATCGTATTTCTCACCTTCTTTACCACAGGCTTGGCACTAGGAGCTTTCTTTGGAGCCATGGTAGCTTATTTAGTACTTGCAAGCACTAAAATAAATGGAATATTATGAAATATTTCACTGGAGCATGTGAGGGGACCTTCGCTCACTGGTAAACAATGCCAGACTGGCTGCCGCCCTGGCTCACGCCGTGGGTATGCGTCCCGAACGAACTACGACTCGCGAGTCAACCTATGAAAAGCGAGTCCATGTTTATACGAAAATACCTCTATGATTGGCGAATTTTACGATTGCCAGGAACTACGAAAAGCGGGGGACCACTGTATTCTTATTCTCAATATCTGTAATCCTCAACCATTAAAATGTAGAATGTGTTCAAATTTTGTTAAAATGCTAGAATCCTCATTACCTCTAATCATAATCCAATCTGCAATTATTAAAACAATTAAACTCGATAAAAATCATATAACATATACTATTGAGATATTCAGTTTTCTTGTATTCATTTTAACTCCTATTTTTATTTTTACATCCACCAAAGAGATTGTTGAAGTATGCTCAATACACATTTCCCTAAGTAAAGAGAAGAGAAAATGTAAACTAGAATGAGAGAGACACTCCCTCTATACGCAAAGACGAAGAATCATACAACTTCTCAAGAGGGCTAAACTATCTGAAATAAGGAAGAAAACACTGACTGGAGAAATAGAAAATTTTGATAAGACCCATGGGAGAAGGAGCTACAAGCCATAAATAAAACTGAAAGAAATCCCCCAAAATTATTTTATATGCCAAAAACAAGGCAAAAACCCCATATCCAGTAACCAGACCCCTGCTTAAACAAGATGGGACTTACACCGACGTCAGGAAACAAAGTGAAATACTGAAATCTCAGTATGACTGTGTTTAGTGAGCCGTTAATCACTCATGACAGACAATGCAAATTAATTTTTTTTATGAATGAGACCCAAAATCTTGCCATCTCCAGAATTTCTAACATAATCCTAACTCCACTGGACTTTGGAAAAGCTATTAACAACATACCTATGCACTCTGCCCCAGGCCTAGATTCGTCGAACTCCGTGTTCACCAAGAAAGACGAGAAACCCTTCCCGCATACATAATGTATGCTATGGAGGGGGAGCCTTGACAAAGAGGTTATCCCATAGTCACTAAAAACATCGTATATAGCACCACTCCACAAATGTGGCAGTAAATCAACAAAGAAGTAAAGAGCAATAGCTCTAATATCCCACATCATAAAAATCTTTGAAAGAGTTCTATGAAGTAAGATCGCCAACCACTTTGATAACTAACAGTTGCGCAACCCAGGACAACATGGATTTAAAGCAGGTCGCTCCTGCTTTGCATCATTATGACATAGTCTTGGATGCACTGGAGGACAAACAGAATGCTATCTGTGCTTGGGGTTCAACTGCAGCAACACACCTAAAGTCAATAATAACCCAACAAAAAGCCACAGTAAGAATAATCACTAAATCCCATCCCTGGCAACACCCCCCCCCTCCACTCTTCAGATCTAAACTTACTCCCTGTTCAGAACATCCACACTTACTACTGTGCAATGTATATCTACAGGACCTTAAATTCCAATATTTGTAGACAGCCTGTACTGTCTGCATAGACAGCCTATGCTGTCTGACAGCATAGTTCATATTCTGCACCACTAAGGTGCTGCCCTCTGGGCCTGCTCCAGGTCAGTGGGATGCTGGGCCCACACACTCACTCTCATAGCGGCCTAGCAGCAAGACAAAAGGCCTACTAGCTCTCTCTCGTGGGATGGCCCTCCCAGGCCATGGGCACAACACACAAGCCTGTGTACCCACCACTACATTACAAATAAAGTAAAGAAGCCTCGGGAAGACGTTTATCATTTACAACCCGCTTGCAGCATAACCAAATAATCACATTAAACATTGGTAGCAGTGGTGGTAGCAGCAGTTGTGTTTGCCCGGAGAGGGGAAGGTTAGTTAGTTTAATATGTTTATTATGCACCCCATACCCATCCTGTGGGCGGTAGTCAAAGATTACAGAGGTACATAATGGGTCCAGGGACTGGGCCTCAAAGTTTTGATAGCTGAGCAAGTTACAGAGGTAATGAATTCACAATTTACAAAGGTAATGAACTCACAATTTACAAAGGTAATGAACTCCAGGTAGGTCTAGTCACAATCATGACAAGTTACAAAGGTATTTACAGATTACAGAGGTACACAATGGGTCCAGGGACCGGGCTCCAAAGTTTTGATGGCTGAACTAGGTACAAGGTAATGAACTCACAAGTTACAAAGGTAATGAACTCACAAGTTACATCTTCACTTCATCACCCCATGCAAGAAGCATCTGTCTCTCAACGAGTTATCCTGATGTCGTGTCTGCATGTTTCAGCATCCAGACACAGGTACAAGCAGGATCTAGCCGAAATTTCCCAAATATCTTCGAGAAATATAAGTGACCCCACACTACAGCGTCCTACGCTGTTTCTCAAGTCACGTGTTCAGCGTCACTTGTATGTTGCTGTTGTTGTTCAGCTCAGCACAGCTGTTTCAGCAAGCTAGAGGTGAGTTTTGTGGTGATTTATGCATCCAGTGTGAGTTTCTCCACGTCTTTGTAGGAGGGAGAGGAAGTGGCTGTTTCCTCGCCTCACCAACGCTCGCCCTACTCACACCTCACCAGCCTACCACCACTATGTGCATCACTCCCTCTGCTGTGTTTTCTGCTGTTTTTCATGTGAATTCATTGCCAGAGCTGTGTATCCGAGTGCCCAAGGCCACTCGCAGCTACGTGGATCAGCATGCCACGTGGATCAGCAAGCCATGTGGATCAGCAAGCCATGTGGATCAGCAAGCCATGTGGATCAGCGTGCCACATAGATCACGACACCACGTGGATCACGACGCCACGTGGGGTGTGGGTGATGTCACGTGGATCTACAAGCCACATGGGTTACTGAGCCAGATGTCCCAGGCCTCATGCTGTGGTCTGCTGCCCGCATCACGTTGACATCACCGACGATGCTGCCCGACTTCGTGAAGTCACAATGTCTGCCTGACGTCACATCAAGATGTCTGCTGACATCACAGTGCTGCTGACGTCACCTCACGACATCACACCTGACATCACATAATGTCACATAGAGTGTTCCAGTAATTATTTCAGTATTGTCGAGAAGACTGAGAGACGATATATGTCGTGTGTTAATTAATTCCTCTCAGTCAGTGTTCTCACATGTTAGTATATGGCTTAGTGTTAGTTTTGTGAACAGTAAAGCATCTTTTGCCAGTTTAAGTCATGTTGTACTGCATGTACCGCGGGTGTGTGTAAAGTTTTTCGTGTGTCCAGTGGTCTGAGCCAGACCCCTGTGTAGCACCACTGTACTAAGTCACCCAGTGTGACCAGTGCGTTTGACAGATGTTATCAGTCAGCCAGAGCCCGAGCCTCTTGTACAGAAAGCTCTTATGCTCGTCGC